AAAAAAACTTCGGCATTACTAAATAAAAAATATTAAAAATTATACACTTCGTGTTTTAATTTTTCATTTACTTATTCACTAAAAACCATTTCAAATTTGTAAGGCATTATAGATAAATTTTATGAATAAGAATAATAACATATGGATATAATAGTTGCTAACTCAACGAAATATGAAACGAATTACAATGCAAATACATCTGGGTAAACATGTGAATTACATCTGTATTCATTTAAAATTGTACCAAATATATAAATTCGCGAGGCATTTTTTTTTACTACGTGTTGTTTATAATTGAGCGTGTAAAGCTTTATTCGTTTTACCTTAAATCCAAATTCAATAGAAAAATGCAATAATATTTCTACTAGGCTTTGGCTCAGAACACGCAATTTATCTCGTGATGTTAATTGTAATATATCGTCACGTGCAGTCATTATTGGATTGACTTTTGACAAGGAAGTGTCGAAACGATTGATAACATTACGTATAACATTAATTTGATGTTGTAACATAATACATTCCTGTTGGGATTAAAATCATTAATAAAAATTATAAAAATATTTGTATTTCATTTACTTACTTCGTACAAATTAATGATTTTTAAATTATCCACCACATTTGCCTCTGTCTCATGCTGCTTATTAATAAAAGCCTGCATGTGAGCAACATTTGATATTTCGCAATTTAGCACAGGTGATAACAGTTCCAATAATTTACAACTCGCTAAGCTATAACGACAGTGTACATCTTCATACAAAGAAGTCAATGCCTTTATTTGAGCTTGTAAATTTTGTGGTTGGCGCGTAACTTTCTTCAATACTGTATCACCATAGCAATCACTATCTAACACAACAGTATGACCATAAAATGAACCTATCGGTATCTTACATTTTGTGGATGACATGCCAATGCGACCAATAATGGTGATTTTCATGAAACGACATATTGGCGGTGGTTGTAAATCAGTCAAAACTAATGTCTTAGTGCCGATATCATGTGTTACTGTCAAACGCACACTGTCAGTTTCTTCATCAAAACACCAAATATCTATGTGTAGCGATGCGAGCTCATCACAAGCTGGTATTACTAAGTCGGTTAATAGGATATGCGCGCCGAAGTCTAGCACAACAAAACGGCGAGCGCCAGAGTGCATACGATCGATAACAATCATTTGTTTCGGCGGAGGCAAAAGCAATTTATGCCAAGAGAAGACATTAGTTGTAATATTTTCCTTGTTCACATGAGGTAGTTGTGCACTTTGTTTTTGCGTTATGCGTTGTTCTCCATTATTATTATGCATTTTAAGCACATCTTTAACTGTTGTTTGAGTTTCATCTAACTTTGTGAGGGCATCCTCCAAAGCTGATAATTTTGCTTGGGCTGATATTGCTTTTTCTTTAAAAAGTTCCGCTTTATTGCTAGCGGAATTTTTAGTTGTGTCATCACATAGCTCAATGTATTTGCAAATTGCTTTGAATTTTGGCAACATAGAATTGTATTTCGATGATAAATGCGGCAAATGCTCAAAGTCTAAATAAAAAAATTTTATCAATAAGGAGTACTTTTTAATTACTTTTTTTTATTAAATGAACTTACGAGAAACGCCATTGGCTTTTTGTTCAACTTCTTTGGGTTTCTTTAATTTAAGATGTTTATCAACAATAATATTTTGGACATTATTAACAATGTCGTGTATCTTTAAAGAAAAACAACTAACAGTTGATCATTTCATATAATCTATGTTTTGTATACCTTATCAATATCGGGATCCTTTAAAACATCTACGGAAACAGATTGCATTGGTCCCATAATAATATCTTCCACATTTATACTCGACCCATTGCCAGTTGAAATTGAATCCAAATTATCTATGCGAGTAGCTTCAGATGTTGCAGCACAAGAAAAATGCAACTGTTCTACCTCTAATAAGCCTCGCAATTGGTTGCTCACACTTTTACATTTTATCAAATGTGGGAATGTTCGAAAATCTACGCTATCTATTTTGTTTATTTTAAATATATATATATTAATATATATTCATAAAATTTTTTAAACTATATATAAATACCAATTGAACAGAGCTTTTTAATATCCATACCAGCTGTTTGCATTGCACCTGCATTTTGTCGCATGATGCTTAAAAAGGTTGAAGGAATTGGTGCGGTATTCTTGTTCATGCTTGGTAACTCATAATCGAAAATTTCGGGCTCAAATGGAAAACCATACATGCCAAATCTGTTATAAATAATGTTATAAATTTGAAAAACCAATTTCATATATAACTTACCTGGTTCCTAGTAATGCACCATACGGATCCCAACGCTGCGAAATTTCTGCAGATATCTTGGTTAACAACTTTATGCATAATTCAGAAATTTCGTTATGCGAATCAGCAGTAGATGTGGCACAAACCAATGTTGTAAACCAATGTACAACACTCGCATGTTTTGAAAGTGGCAACTCCTTGAATGTGGATGATATAGCCGTTTTAACAGCAACGCTCAAATTAAGTTCATTCTGAAGTTCACTAGGCATGTTACCTATCCCACTGAAAATCAAAAATACAAATTTAAATGTTTTACATCCTTACAATTGATTAACACTTCATTTATAGTATGATTTTTGTGCCGTTAGGCGATGTAAAATATATAATAACACATATATATATATATACATATACAGAAAGACTGTCTCTGCAGTGTGCAACAAAATTTTATGAGTTCTTATTTTTTTACGATAAGTAATATTATAATATACTTACTCTGTTAATATAATTATTACTTTCACACATTTGTGAGCGATCGAACGATCGCTATGAATGATACAGTTACGAATGATACTGTGTATGTACTTTTCAGCTATAGAAATACATTCAATTTGTTGTGCTACAAGATCCACATTATAATGTTGCACATTTTTATTCAACTGTGCTTTCATACTTTCAGACTTCGAGGAACGATAACGATTCAAGCGTATAAAACAAATCCATATCAATATATCTAAAGCAAGATTTTTTTCTAGCCTCGAAGTTTCAGTAGAACTTATAATCAAAAATAAATTCTCTAATAGCAGTTTACTTTCAAGCATTGCAATTCGTTGTGTACGTTCATTAGGTATATTTATTGTCTTTACACCACGTACAGATATAGATATTTCGTGTAACCAATCGCATCCTATAAACAAACAATAATAGCAGTATATTTATTATGTATATTTAATTAAAATATTTTTTAATTATTACCACGTGTTTTAGCTTGACCATCCTTACTTTGATCTGACATAGTTCGTAAATGCAATAAAAAGTTTCGTGTACGAGTTTTAAATAGTTTCGGTGAGGTTAATGTCATTACACCACCCTGATCGCACAGGTCAATACATGAGGAAAGTTCAATGGGACCGACCAATATTTCGGCATTGTAGGTTTGCAAGTATTCATCAGTTAATACTGGATTTTCATTAACTGGAAAATATAATTAATTAAAAAAAATTTTTTATTTAATATACAAATCAATCAGCTAGTTATTTAAAAAAGTTTAAATATATTATTTTAGACAGAGATATACTCGGCATATTCTTTACATTTAATTACTGACTTTGAAAATGATCTAGAAACAATTAATACTAAACTATTAGTATTTCAGAAAAATTTAAATATTTTATATTAAGTAAGAGATATACTCTTTAAATTATTTTTAATTAATGTTAAATTTATACTATTTATATGCTCTTTATATTATTTTTGATAATTGTTTATAATCAAATACTGACTTTAAGATTGATTTTAAAATATATTCTATTTTTATAATATTCTATTCTATAATATTCTAAAATATTCTATTTCTAAATTATAGTTACCATCAGCAGTACTTGGTATAAAATCATCATAATTTTTCGTGTTACATTCCTGATAACAAGCATTCGGTCCTTTCATACGATAACCAAATCCACTTGTATTCTGCTTGAGCAAAGTCACTTGTATAGCTGCAGGATTATGACATTGCTGGAATAATGTGAATTTCAAGTCAATGTGGCCTAGTTGAACCGGCTGATTTAGATTCAACTCAATCGTATGTTCGTCCCAAGTAGTACTACAAACATTAAAATTTAATTCACATATTATATTTTCAAAACTTGAGTATAAAAAAAGTTTTTATTAAAAAGAATAACAATGTAACGTCAGCTATGATTGCCATTTTTCATACAAAATCCAAATAAAAATGTGTTAATTAGGTTCAGAAATTATATGTGTAAAAACAGTATTAGATATAAATATATACATACGCATCATTATGTAGACGCCATGTTTTAACATGTTGGGTATCATCTCCATTGCGTAAATACTGCGGTTGTTTTCTTTGTTTTTGTGCCTGTACCATATCATTCCAACAGCTTGGCACTTCAGCTGTATAAGCACTTAATTTGTCATCAAATTTTGTAAGATCATATAAAGTACGTAAATCCTCTATTAATAAAGAACTTTTAAAAGCTATGCAATTCGCTGCAGTTAGTGGCGTAGGAGATGGAGACTGATGTGTTAGAGTCAAAATATTTGTTGCACTGCAGTCAACTCCTAATACTCCTTGCGGTATACATGGTAATGGTAATTTACCAGAATTAAGTCCATTCTTATAAACTGCTAAGTCATTAATGTCAATATTAGATGTGTTGGTAACGTTTTCATTTCCACCATCTGTCACCGTTATTTCTAAATTATTAGTGGATTTAACACAAACATTTGACTCATCATCCATTTCAAGCATTTCATCTCCAGATTCATTATCTGCATCGTTAAAAGAATAAAAAATAAGCGAGCCCTTACTTGTGCAACCACATAAACGATCTAGTGTACGACAATAAGCAATAGAAGTAAAAGCTTCTCCATTGACTTGTATATCAGTAATATGTTTAAAATCCGTTAATGAATAAACTTTAATTGTACCATCATTACAAACCACGCATAATGCTCCATACTGCACCTTTCTTCCAACTTCGGAGTTTGTTTCCTCATTTTCCACGACAAGTTGGAAATTAGGTAATATGCAAAGCTGTTTTGGTTGCTTTTTCCGATTAAATGTGACTGCTAACGTATATTCATTCGATATTACACCATCAACATAATCGAATAACAACAATTGAGCAACTAAATCGTTACCATTAAAATCGGAAGAATCTAAAAAAATAATTATTTTTACATTATTACATATTTGTAACAATCATATTGGTATTAGACTCTACTTACCAACTAACTGCTCATATTCTACATCCTCTGTTGTTGCCATTATAAGTTTTTGTTCTACTTTGGAAGGAAGTTTAGTTTTTTGCAATTTAACCAGTAGTTGATTGCAATCACTATTTATTGGTAAGATTTCACTTATTTCAACGATTTCATTTTCGAAATCATCACTAAAAGTGTTCATACGTTTAACGCTTGTGCAACTCTCAAATACGCATTCAATGTCCTCACACGGTGGAGCTTTTGAAATGGTACTAACATTATTGTTGTTATTCATGTAGCCATTCATTGTGATATTCTGATTTTTCTTCATTTGAGCGGCAGCTAATAAATTTTCTTTAAAATAATTTGCGTCCATATCCATATCTATTGAAGGTCCTGTATTCATTTTAGCATCAAATGGATTTACAATTATCAAATCCGTTTGCATATGTGATAACTCAGTATTAATCAAATCAGTCAAGGCCATTGCATTCGACTTATCTTCAGTTCCATCGGTATTCATAATACTAAGGGCAGAAACAAACCCATTGCTATCGAAACCATCCGCATACTTTTCAAAATTAGCGCTAACTGTTTTGCTGTCATCGTCTTGTTGTTCATATTTGAGTGGTAATTGTTCGTTAACAGTGTCATCTCCTTTAAATAATACAAGCAGATAGGGTTTTAGGGTGAAAAATGTAAATAAAAGATATTATTACTTACCGTCACTGCTTGTGTTTGATGTTTTCGGTTGACTAACGGCCACACTACTTGTACTACTTCCTTCAGTATTCTCATTTATTCGATCACATTCTACAATATTGAGAACAACCATACGCAAGGCATGCTCGCCCGTGCTTTTTTGAATACTTATGCCTAGTACAATTTTAGATCCAACAACGCCCACTCTCAAAGATGATGAAGATATACATTGTTGTGCACCAGGTGTGCTCGCAACTCCATTGTTACTAATTTGTGTGGCATGCATAGCATTAATTTTACGTTGCGCGCATGCATTTGGTAGTACACATATCGCTGTAACATTTGCCCACTCATAACTTTCATCACATACATCTTTCATTATTACGGCAATATTGAATGTGTGCATGAGTTTCAAATGTCGTTCTATACTCCAGACAGATATCTCACCGGATTGTTTACAGCTAGTACAAAGTACATTTGCATATTCGCTATTTGAAATCACATCGAAACCAATACCACCGACAGTAGCAGCTGGATATGTAGCATAAGTAACGCTTAATGGCACATTCTGAGTATACTCTCCTTTAACAAATGGGCAAGTAGGCGAATGGCGTTCATGTTCACCCCATGGTTCATCAGACTTTTCCCAACAGACTAAGCAAACATTGCAGGTAAAACACATCGCACGATCTTCACCAGTAGGCGAAGGCTGATGATAAAACCCAGCCTGTGCCATTTGGTCAGGTAGTGCCCATTTGTAATCCATATGTGGCCATTTCTCAAATGTCTGTCGTCGTACAGCCTCTGAATGCATCAGAGTACGTTGCAAATTTGTGCATTGCCAACTTAACTCAGGTAAACGACAACCGGTAAGAAGATCGGTGAGTCTTTCATTAATCGCTGAAGCTACCGGTAATGCGGGTATATGTCGCTCCAATCGTTTTAATAACAAAACTAAATTATTGGCAACCAACTTTATACTGGAATATGGTAGCTCTAAACATACAGTATTCCACTGTTTCAAGAAATAAGTAAATATATTATATATATCTATATATATTAATAGTATTTTTAAAACAAAATAAACTTACACGTTGTGCTTTGATGCCCTTTTTTGAATTTGCTTGTGCTCTCTCTATTTTATCTTTTAACTCATTTGTGACATCAGCAGAACATTCAAAGTCCTCCTGCTCAAGTTCCTTGAGACACTTCTGGAATGTCATTGCCTCTGATAGCAATAATTCCAATTTGATAATTTCATCATTCTGTAGAATAGGCGATTGCAATATTGTGTCGAAGAGTAATACGCCATTATAATCGCCACGAAATCCTAGGTGTTGTCCATCCCAAATTAAAATCTTATCTTGCAGAGACATATATCGACCATAGATATTTTTGTCTCCATCTATGTAAACATTTAAAAAGAATATATTAACAGTCATAAATTATCAAGGTTTAGATTATAAAATATTTGATTAGTAAGGCCTATTGGCGATAATCACGCCATTTATCTGATGAAATAACAGCTTAGGCAATATTGGCAACACAAGCTTAATTTGTTATTGTTAAATATGATGACTTAAGCCGAGACATAAACATAAGTTCTAAACACTTTTCTTCTAAGAATTATTTGTTTATATTAACATCCACACCGTCGCTAGAAACGCAGTTGTTCTTGGTATTCCCCATTATTGTAATGTAAACGTCTGCACATATACATACACATATATTGTATATCGTATATCATTAGCAATAATAAAAATGAAAACAACCATACATTACAATATAAAAACAGACTAAACAAACAATTGGAATCCGCTGAGTTAAACAATTCCGCAAAATTAAAGCGAAAATAAATTACAACAAAAACACGAATGCCAAAAGGACTTTAGTATAGAGAAATATGCATATTCTTTTCTGATTGTAAATTTTTTTTTTTACACTATTTAATAAATGATTGCAAATTTTTTGAAATTGTTATAGCGCCAGATAAAAGATAACACACTTATAAAAATATTTACCTGAACCAACAAGCGAATATGTTTGCAAAATTGTTCCAGAATGCACATCAAGAATTTTTAGCTCATTCGCGTTATCGAAAACAAGAATAACGTTCAAGTTCGGATGATAGACAATGTTACTGGCCTCCACTTGACACTCATTCAGTGATGAAATACCACTGCCCAAATTCACAGTCAAGTAGCCATCTTGCTTGAAAATCTTGTCCGGGTCGTTAGCCATTGGTCAGCGCGCTTATATTACCTTTAATTTTCGTACTTATTTTATACCGAACTTATTCACTAATTACGCAAAAATGTATGTTCTTTATTAAAAATCCCGAAATCACTAATAATTATTAATATAATTCCGTAGAAACGTCTTTACTTCGCGATCGCCATCAGATTCGTACCCAATTACTGCTATCTCAGATATAATGTGAGAACGACACAGAAATCTGACAGCAGCAATGTACTAAGCAGAGTTGCTTTTGGGGCAATTCAATTGGCAATCGGTGTGCCCGTTGTACGCTTAATAAATTCTAGAAACTCACACGAGCTGCCAATCACAAAATGTTATACAGTACACACAAATTAAAAAATTTTTATTTAATATTAGTTTCTCAAATGAACTTGTTTCCAATGTACACTTCAATAGAAAAGAAATTTTCTGATTGATATTACGATTTCATAGAAATCAAAAGAATATTCATAAATTTTTTACCCGATAAAACTTGAAATATTCAACACTATATTATAAAAATATATGAAAATACTGCATTTAAGGTTTGTTTCTTATATATATACGAATATATAAGATATTACACTTTAAACACAACAATATATGGAATAACAGATTAGCTGCTTAGAAAATGTTATTTCTTTTCGCGCTCCAAAAACGGTAAAAAAAGCTTTTTCTTTCACTTTAATTTCGCAATTATATTCCCTTTTGCTTTTTTTACTGTTTTGACACATAAATAAAATCTAAACTAACTAAAATTATATAGTTATTCATTTTAACAATTTACCATATTTCAGAAGCTACTTGATTAAATTAAATAAAATTAATTCTTAAATAAATGGAATATCATATATATAGAATAAAACATGATAGACAATATATATCAACATATTTAAATTCATATATTTTTATTGATATATAACTGGAAAAATTATTTATTTAGGACGTATGAGAGTTCGAGTAAATTCCCTCAATTTAAATAAATTCGGTATGGCAGCGAATGTTAGCATTTACCAGAATATCGATCTGCATACTTAGTCTGCATACCTGTGTGCGCTTTGCTATTCGCTTTGAAACAAGGTGTAATATTAATGCAGACATGTCTGCAGACCGAAATTTAGAATGCATACTTGAATTTACACAGTGCGATTTGGTAGCACGGCATACTTGGTTTGCATACATGTAGTAATATAATAGGTCTGTTCCATAGTAAAACTCAAGTAAAACACAAGTAAAGTACAAACTGAGAGTGTAACACAAATAAAGTACCAAATTACGTTCTTTACACAGATTTTCATAGAACAGCTTTGTGTAAAATCTTGTGAGAACACCAGTGCCGCGCAAATAAATCATACATAAATTTAAATTCAAACCAAAACAGCTGATTCACACATCAACACAAATTTTATTTAAAATAAAATGTACGAGGGAAGTCTGTGTAGCATTTTCAAATTTCAATAGGGATGTTACTCTCTGTCATTTACTCGAAAGTTTGTTGGTGGAACACATTTGTGTATACACAGTGTTACTCAAAATAGACCTAATATTTTCTCATGAATTACCAGTTTAATTTTTAATTGAATTCAACATAAGACTTCATTTTTGTTTACAGTTAGATAAATAATAAATAAATAGCTATTATATTCTTCAGTTTAGTTATAATTTTATTAAATACAATCGATATTGTTAATGTTAATAAAACATGCTTATATAAATCAGCTGTTGCCACTATATGCTTTATAACTTTTACTAATTTTTACTGATAAAAATAGTGCTAGTAAAATAAATCGTATATTTGTACCTCACATCTCACTCTTTCTGCTTTCTTTAACTAGTTTTTAATGAAAGGAAAATAAAAGTCAGCAAAACAGTAAAATACAAAACACACCTGATTACAAAATTATGACATTTAAAAATTTAACAAATGATTTACAAAAATAATTACAGAAATTATTACCATAAAATCTATTAATTGATACAATATGACATAAATAGTACTACAAAAATAAATACATATATTTAGAATATATAACCTTTACTTTGAATGGAAATATAGAGTTTTCTTCAAATGACAGATGGTTGTTTTACCTGAAGTACTATTTGAATGCAACTCTGTTGACTTGATTTTATTTATACAGCATATAAATAACAGCTGTTCAGTATTTTGATTTTAGTTTGTTTTCTTTCCTTTTAGAATCATGAATATTTTACCGAAAAAAAGGTTGGTATATTTTTAATGAATTTTGTTTAATTTAATTAATTTAATATATTATTAGCTGGCATGTGCGTAACAAAGATAATATTGCACGCGTTAGACGTGATGAAGCTGAAGCTCGTGAACAAGAAGAAGTAAAAAAGAAAAAATTTGAATTAGCAGTAAGTATTTTTAATGCATGCATTAAACAATTTATAAAAATGTTTAATTATAGGAAAATGAAGCGCGTATCAGCTTTTTACGTAAAAAATCTGGCCTAGTGGATCTGGAAGAGTTTAAAAAAACATATGAAATTGATGAAGACACTCCTACTTCTTCACAACATGTAAACTTATTTTCAGATTTAAACAGTCATACAAAAAGCAAAAATAAAGAAGCTGAAAAAGAAAGTAAGGCAGAACGTGAAAAATATGAAAAGCAAGTAGGATATTTAACTTATCTTGGGCAAGATACAAATGAAGCACTCAAATTGAAAAGTTGGTATGAGAAAGCACCAATCCGTGGAGTGGAAACAAAATATGATGAAAAAGATCTTAGAAATAAATATTATAATGATCCACTCACCTTGATAAAAACACTATTGCCATCTGAACAACAGTCTGATGAAGAGACAGATTCAGAAAAAGAAAAAGAAAAAGCACCAAGTAATGACAAAATTAAAACCGAAATTCTAACAAAGGATTTAGAATTTAATAGAAGATCCAAAAAAAGTAAAGAGAAAAAAGAAAAAAAGTCTAAAAAAAAACATAAGAAAAAATCCAAATATAATTCTGAGAAGGAACTTAAGCATAAAAATCGTGAAGAATTGTCCATTGAAAGAATGCAGGACAAGAAAGAAAAACTGGCAAAGTTGCGTGAGGAAAGATTACGGAGAGAAGCTGCTGAAAAATTGCGACAAGAAGCTTTAATGGCACCAAAGACAGATGTGCCACCAGTAAATACGACAAATGTGAAACCTTCGAATACTCGAATTAAACAGAAATACAATAGTCAGTTCAACCCGGAGTTGGCAAAACAAAACATATTGGAAAATAATTAATATTAATAAAGAAAACATAATGCTTTTTCATATTCTTAACCAAGAAAGAACTCTAGATTTTAAGTAAAGTTAATGAATACTGAGGTATGGAATGTGAACATTGGTTTCATGAGATAATATCCCATTGAACGGATACAAAACCTTTTCTTTCTCTATCTAATCTGACGTGATTGTATATAAAGGGAATAGTGTTTCCTAAAATATATAGTTTGTGTAATCAATAGCTCTAGATAAAATATTCTTACTTAACAAGTAACTTGGGCATTATGTTTTGGTTGTATTTAGGAATAATCAATATTTTTAAATTTTATTATTAACTGATGATAAGTCTAGCTTTTTTTATTTGACTGCTTATTTGAAAAAATAAAATTATAAAAATTCTGTACTAAAATGTGTAATTATATTTTTAAGATCAAATCAATTTGTCCCATCACAGTAGAGCAATAATCAACAATCAATCACAGAATAGAGTAACAATCAGAGCTTTAATGTCATCATCAACAATATCAATCATACAAAACACTGTGTATGAAAAGTTGTAATTTACTTAAATACTTTTACTTTAATTTACTTTGAATAATTTTTATAACAATTCTGCATAAAAAAAAAATTAAATTCACTACTACCAGTAATGATAAATCCCTTCCAACAGTAATAATTTGTGTAGGGCACTATATATGAACTCTAAATAATGCCTTCAATACATGAGTTCGTATAAAGAAGATATATTAAATAGTTAACTTAATCTATTTTATATTTATCTGCTACAGATAGCGAATAATTACTTAATTGTTAAAAATAAAAAATATGCAATCAATTAAGCTTCGCTTTTATTTACTTAAATAATATATTTCATTATAATTAAGTTTAAAAGATAAATTTACAATGATTTTGCACAACGAAAACCTAGGTTTCCAGCTGAGCTGTCAGCAGTATTTTGCGAACGAGCAGCACATCTATAACGGTAACAATATGATTTGTGGCATAGGTAGGAACCTCCCTTTTTCACCATATTAGGATTAGGACTTCTGTCATTTTTTTCCCATATATCATTTGTCCATTCCCAAACGTTACCCACAATATTGTACAAATCAAAATTATTTTGACGAAATTCATTAACCGGACAAGTAGTATCAAAACCATCTTCCAAAGTATTCTCATCTGGAAATTCCCCTTGCCATATATTAAGCCTTTACAAAATAATAAATCTATTGTAATTGTTTATATATAAATTTTATTTTCATACCAATGCTTATCATTTGGCATTAATTTATTGCCCCATGGAAAGAGTTTTTGTTTTCTACCTCCTCGGCATGCTGCTTCCCACTCAGCTTCAGTGGGTAAACGCTTACCTAACCACTTACAGTAAGCTACAGCATCATTCCAAGATACATGAACTACAGGATGATTTTGTAAATCTATAAAACACAAATAAATGTATTCATTAGTATTGTTAATAAAATCAATAATACCATTTAAGTTGCTTTCTGGTCCATTAGGATGCTTCCATGATATGCCTTTTACTTTAAACCACCAAGGCGCTGAAACCTTTATTTTTAAAAATCGAATTTATGAATAATAATCTATTGTTTGAAGTTAAAAATTTTATTTATTTTACACTCACAACTCTAAAGTCTTCGTATTCCTTTTGCATTTGAGTACTTAGGAGCGCTTTAAATATGAAGCTATCACCAAATATTTCCGCTTCAGTGGTGTAGTTTGTTGCATCTACAAATTGTTGAAACTTTTCATTCGAAACTTCATATTTATCCATATAGAAGTCTTTAAGTTTAACTATTCTTTCAGGTGACTCATGATCTGCTAGAAAATGTGGTTTGTCGGTACCAATTAAATAATCACCACCTGTTATTAGGGACATATCCTCGATAACAGGTTCCGCATAATAATCCCTGTATCGCGAATTTTTGCTTTGTTGCTTACATACTTTATTATCATCTATATCGGCATTTTTATCTTCATATAATGCATGCGGCTTTTCGTCTTCTTGTCTATTTAACTTGTTGCACCCACAATCCAACAACGCAATATCAATGCATAAAACAGAAATTATAAACAAACAAAGCAACATTGTTTTGATATGCTAAATGTATATGACACGTCTGTTCCATTCTACGTGTTCTAACAAAATCAGCTGGCAATAATGAAGATAAGAAAATCCGCCGCCATTTATAGTGAGTCAGACTAAAAGTATTTAAGTAAGTAGTTATATTCGTATATATTTAACAATATATTTTTTACTTTTAAATTTTTAAAAATGTACACTCGTACACAGAACAATAACTGAATAATGTATAGTTGTAGACTTTTCTCAAAATGAGAAGTTTTAGACTTGCAGAAACTCCTTACGGCGATAAATGCATTATATTGCACACGATACGAAAGCGAATTTAGAAAAACAGCTGTTTTTTGGAAAATCTTTTTAATAAAGCATAGATATGTCTAATATTTAATGAAATAATTATATTTGCAATAAGAAATTTTGGCTTTTAATTTTAGTTAATTATATATTATTCCTTACAAATATACAAAATACTTTTATGTTATTACTGATTTCTTAAATTTTACTTTCGTTTTTTTTAAGCAATCACAAAAATCACGTCACAGCTCTTTATTGTCATATAAGAATTAAAATAAAAACTCCAATACATATTTTCCAGTTAGAATAAATATAATTGGTTCTTATTTATGTTTTGAAGGTAGATTAATTTCTTTTTTGTCGTTAATTTTAGGATGAGCATATAAAATTAAGCGTTTAAAGCATTTAATGTGTGTACAGTAAATGAAGTAAATTATTGTAATTATATCACAAAAATAAATATCATAATTTGTTACCGGGCTAATTATTATAATAATAATTTTTGGTCACAAATATAAGTATTTAATATTTATAAAATAAATATCTTTTAAATTTAGGAACCCAAAACTTAACAAATAATGCTAAAAGCAGGAAATTGACAATTGTGATATGAATCATTGTATAAAATATTTTTTTAACTTTACAATTTTATTTTGTTTAATTTTCGTATTGAAATGAATTACTTATTGTCAATTTTTAAACGAGTTGTTCTAAAATTTGAAAAAAAAATTCGATTTTCACATTAAAAAGTATTTTCGTGTTTTTTTTTTTGTTATTCATTACTCGAGTCTAGAATCATGTTTACATTATAGATTTTAACTATCGAATTTTGCTTAATTCAGTTCGCACACGTCAGGTGTTTACATTGCTGTTTTAGGGATTTTATTTTAGCATTTGTTTTTGTTATTTTTCTATTTTATTTACTTTTCTACTTTTCAAGAATTTTTTTAAGAATCATATATAATCTTTTTCAATTTAATATATTGTATTAAATATGTGTTCTAATAACTTACACTTAAATGTGTAAGATAATCTGCAAAGCAAAATCACTTACTTAAAATTATAAAAGAACGAAGTTCGTAATATAAATATACTTATGTACATATTGCATTACCCACTATTCTTATAAGATTACATAAAAAATTTTTGAAATGATTCCCCGTGCATTCATAAAAAAATTAATTAAAAATACAATTTTATTTAAACATAGATGAATATGAAATATTTAAATAGATATATAAACTATATTTATACAGATAATATAAAATTTTTTAATATATCATATAGCAACATTTGACATTTATTTAATTAAAATTGTTATACTTTCATTTCAAATTGGAATCATTTTTATAGTAACTATTTTTGAAAGCAAAGACAACACTGACAGCTTATTTTAAATATAACAGAAATTTTGTCTTTAGCGCAAATTATTAGCATTTATAAAACGGCATTGACAGCACGTGTGGCGTCATTCGGCTTTTTTTATTATTAATTTGTTGTTATATTTTAAAATATACTAAATAAGTTTAATTTAATTGTAATGGAGTATGGGCGTGTTACTCCGTCCCGTGGTAAGTAAATATATAGAAAGTTATGATAATTTTGCTCAAAAAAAATAATTTTTTGATATATAGCAACATTTGACATTTAATAAATGAAAACTGTTATACTTTCATTTCAAATTGAAATAATTTTTATAGTAACTATTTTTGAAAGGAAAGACAACACTGACAGCTGATTTTGAATATAACAGAAATTTTGTCTTTAGCGCAAATTATTAGCATTTGCAAAACGGTATTGATAGCACGTGTGGCGTCATTCGGCTTTTTTCATTATTAATTTGTTGTATTATATTAAAATATATTGAATAAGTTTAATTTAAGTGTAATGGAGACTGGGCGTGTTACTCCGTCGCGTGGTAAGTAAAATATATAGAAAGTTATTGTAATTTTGCTTCAAAAAGTTAAGGTGAGACTCTTGCGTTACACTTTCGTTTTTGTATTTGTTGTTTCCTTCGTCCATTTCTATAAAACTTAAAAGAAAACGGTTTATTTTTTTTTTTCTCAAACACGGCCATGTTACATATAATAAAAAAATATCGTCATTGAATTGATACTTAAGTGTCTGCTATTAAACCAATTAAAATATTCTTATTGTGAAATTATTTTTCTTATATGTTGTTTGACATTCATTTATGTTAAATGGAAAATATTTGAATTTCGTTTAAATATTAATTAAAATCATTTTAGTCATTATATGTTGAGAATAAAAAGTAAATATTTGTTTTTTTTCTTATAAATGACAGCGCGACCAGCCTGCTGGAAAAATGCTATATTGATTTACTCATTTTTGCACTCCTGTATGCGCTGCTATATAAATATTTTTATTATAATTATTTAGTTTTACGACCTTCCAATGCAATTCAATTAAATAATATATAAATTTATATAGTTAAACCATATAGAGTTCTTATCTTATATTTGTCCCTTTGTTTAAAAACTTGAAAAACAGTTGTTGTGTTGTTGTTGTTGTTGTTGTCGCTGCTGCAGCTGTAGCCCGCAAGGATCTGTAAATGTAACAGATAACAGAAAGGAATTACCAAGCCATACCTGGATTAGAATGTGGATATGTATTATTATTAGATTAGTATTAGGTATTAGAGGGGAGAAGACTATTTAGGAGTGCGTATAATTTGGTGGATGAGTGGGCTTTCAATTTAAGTCAACCAGGATCAAGGCAAACAAACCTAGCAATTTCTAAGAAACGGGTCCAAAGATCGATTATTGTTGCATTAACAACGATTAGTTCTGATTTCTTCTTAGAACTTCTAATTTTTTATTGTAGCACAATTTTATCATGCTTTTGTGATTTTCCATCTGCGTCTAGACCTCTACTTTTTCATCGCATTTTCATCACATATGACTATCATTTGCCAGTTCTCTGAGTTCGCTCTCATCTTTATCACTATATTTTCGAGATTTATTGTTTCAATATAGGCTATTAGCTCTTCGCTAAGTGTTAGCTGCCTATTACAGTAAAAGAAGGTATGCTATGCGTCGATGGTCTGTCTTCGCCGCCATAAATGCACTCGTCTAATGTATCTAGGCATGTTAATGTATTGAAGTTAGAACTTGTAAAAAAGAACTTACCTCTTGAACAAAAATATATTTAATACCTTTTTTGTAGTTTTAAGAAGTTTTTTTATCATTATTATTATCATGCAGTCGAATTAGTCGAATATCCATTTAAGTAGGTATTAGAAGTTGTCGTTCCTTAAGAATATTTGTGCTCAAATTTACCATATATCCTTTTGGAAACTAAATGAGTTATATTGTAAGAATCAGCAAACGTCTTTTCTAGCTAGTTGTTCGTCGTTTACTAACTTCACTTTGCTTGTTGTGCTGTCAAGACCATCTCACCTCACTGGCACTGCCAGCTTAATCCTACATTTATTACAAACTAGTCATTAAGTGTGTTGCATATCAAGATCTTCTATGTTTTGTAATGTATTGTATTTATATTTTCAGTGACACGTTCACAGCATAAGCATCTTCAGTCAGAAAGTGATAATTCAAGTAGACCTGGTACACCCGTTTCAACACAGAGCTTAGATATATGTAAGTAATTTGTATATAATAGAATTTTCAAATTTTATTAAAACATTAATACATATTTTAATATATTTTTTATAACAGCACCAAAAGATACTGGTCTACGACGTACCACACGTAGATTATCCACTTCGACTCCTTCCAAGCTTATGGGAAAGTTAGTTAAAGAAGGAACTCCTGAAGTAAGTACACCTTCAAAAAGAATTACACGTAGAAATAGTACTTCAATTATTGAAGTTGACGTGCAGAAATCAGTGAAGACACCTAAATTTCCTACGCTTGCAGAGGAAGATGTGAATTCTGAAAAACGTAAGTCAACAAAAGCAAAGAATAATGTTTTTAAATTAAATAAAAATAATCAAAATTAATTATTCAGCAAAATATGGAGAGAAGACACGTAGAAAATCTATTTCACCAAAGCTTCGATCACAGAGTGACAAAATTAGTGCAACTACCAGTAGATTTACGCGTAGTGGTAAGTACTTGTTTATATATATGATATATAATGATTATATAAATTATTTTTTTTTATAATACAAAGCACTAAAAATCGAAGCTGAGTCGAAAATTAAAACAAATATATCAAAAAAAAAGGATAGTCCATTAAAAAGAAAAGTATATAGTAACGATGTTGAGGACTCGGAAGTGGAAATTATAAACATTAACACCGATGAGGATAGCCAATCCAGTGTAATTGACGTGAAAATAGATAAAAATGCTAAAAAGACTATTAAAGGTAAGAAGCAAAAAACTTCTGATGAAGACAAAAAAGATATAAAAAAAAGTGAAGTTGTTAAGAACAACGTAAAAGATACTGTTAAATCCACAGAAGAAGAAGAAGAAACTAAAGATATGAAAAAGCCCGATTCAATTGCGAACGATAAAAATTCAATCAATATAGAAGAAGCAGCAATTGAGCAACCGGTAGAAAAAAAAGTTTACGGCGAAGAAATAGATTTAACAGAAGACAATGAAAATAGCTTCAAAGCAGATGAAAATCAATCTAAAGAAAAATCAAATAAAGTATTTCATAACGAAAGTGGAGAAGTAAAAATAAAAGTTGAACATAATGAAAGTGATGTTGAAATGATTGAGATTGATGAAGGAGTCGTTGGTATTGATATTAAAAAAGAACAAGAAGACGAGTTTAAAAATATTGGAAATGATGATAAAGATATAGAAATGATTAAGGAAAATGTTGGCGAGCATAAAAAAGAAAATAACAAAATAAACGATACAATCATGACTAATAATGTAGTCATAAATGTAACTAATACAGATGCAGCTATAATCAATGGTAATAAAAACATAGATCCAAATACTGAGCCGCAAGCACTTAATAAAAGTTTAAATGAATTAAATGTAAACAAATCATACAATGATGATGTTGAAATTATTTCCCATGATTTGGTGATTAAAGATGTATTAGTGAATGAAATTGTGAGTGACAGTAAAGTGTCAAATGCAGATCTTAATAAAAACAATAGCATTTTGGAGGCACGTAACATTCAAGTGCCGAATTCAGATCTTAAAAATGACAATAATATTTTTGAATCAAGTAGTATTGATATGCCAAACACAGATCTTCAGAAGAACAACAGCATTTTGGAAACAAGTAATATTGAAATGCCAAACACAGATCAGAAGAACAATAGTATTTTGGAAGCAAGTAATATTGAAGTACCAAACACAGATCTTCAAAAGAACAATAGCATTTTGGAAGCAAATAATATTGAAGTAACAAACACAGATCCGCAAAAGAACAATAGCATTTTGGAAGCAAGTAATATTGAAGTACCAGACACAGATCTTCAAAAGAACAATAACATTTTGGAAGCAAGTAACATTGAAGTAGATCTTGAACAAAACGAAAGTACTTCAAATGAAAATGATTGTGAAAATGATTTAAATATACGTAATGTTAGTTTAAAATTAAATGATATGAAAAAAACATTAAATTCTATTAAAATCAATTCACCTTGTACTGTACCGATACAACAAACTTCCAAACCGTCAACACCCCTAAGTACTATGAAAAAATTAAAGGTAATGATAACTGACGTAAGAACTTTAGAATCAACAAGTCCAGATCCTAAAATAAATGAAACAGTTCTCGATAAAACTTCAAATTCGAATAAAATAAATGAAGAACCACAAACTCCAGATCCTAAAATAAAAAAGACACTTCTCGATAAAACTTCGAATTCGAATAAAAAGAATAAAGAACCAACTACTCCAGATCCTAAAATAAAAGAAACACTTCTCGATAAAACTTTGAATTCGAATAAAAAGGATGAAGAACCAACTACTCCAGATCCTAAAATAAAAAAAACACTTCTTGACAAAACTTTGAATTCAAATAAAAAGAATATAGGATCATCTACTCCAGATAAAACACTTGCAAACAAAAGTTTGCCTTTGAACATAAGGTCTAGTGGACATAGAAATTCGGTTACGTTCGATAATTCAGATGATAATGATGTGGAAAAGAAAACTTATCCCAGAACACCATCACTCTTAAAAAGTAAAAGCTATATTGAAATTGATTCTTCAAAGTCAGATTTAGAAGAAAAGAAACAGGATTCCCACGGGCAACTACCATTGCTAGAAGTAACTCCAATAAAGTACAAAGTCTTAGACAAATTGAAGAGTTCAACGCCTATTATTAACAGTGCAAATAAAGTTACTAAAACAAAGGATGAATTAAAACAAATTGACTTAGAAATTGAAAAGTCAATTACTTTAAATTCAACAGCGGAGAAGAGTTGTGCCAATTCAATTGATGAATTGGTTGAAGAAAAAAGCTCTCCAAAAAAAACGACTGCACTTAATACTTCAAGTGAGAACAAGGACGACTCTTCAAAGAGTATTAACAATTTTGCACAATCATGGACGCAATGTATTACAGTAAAAGTAGGCAACAATTCCAAAATTGATACAATTGCAGAATCTAAGGCATTAGAGGTTCATGAAGATGTGGAAATAGAAAATATATCACCACAGAAAAATTCATCACAATTACATTTACAACTTGATTCCGATGAACAATCTAATGCAGAATCAAATGAACAATCTAATGAAGAATCTGATGAAGAACAAACTAAAAATAAGTTTGTTGATGATGAAGCAATGGATGCAGGAGAAGATTATTGTAGTGGTGATTCAATGGATGAAGAAGAACGGCGTGAAATGGAAGAAAATGATATAATACCTGATGGTGAATCCATTGGCAGTTGTGATACTGACGAGGGTGATCTCATAAGTGAAGAAGATGACGAAAAATTATCTTTTATTGCAACAAGTTCAGAAGATGAAATACAAAATGTAGATGAAGATGAAAGTAATAGTAGTAATGATAGTGATAACTCCGTTGTATTACATATATCTGATGAAGGAGACGATGATAATGTTCTTGAGATAAAACAAGTTTCTAAAAATAAAAGAAAGCGTGTAATTGAATCGACCAGCGAAACTGAAGTGGAAACGCAAGACAATGACAGTAATTCTAAAATTAATAAAATGGATGTTAAAAATATGAAGGTTGAGAGGAATACATTTAATTCATCATCGAAATCATCAAATAGCAGTGATCTAAGTGAGTCCGCATTAAAATTGCGGGTAGAGCCTAAAACAGATCGTAAGTTAGATAAAAGTGCTGTCAAGGAATTAAATGAGTCTCGTAAAAAAATATTGAAGGATATGAACAGATCGGATCGCTTCAATAAATCATTTTTTGATAATGAAGCGCCACTAGAATCCTCATCTGATGTAACAGATGACGTTAATCAGTCTAGCAGTTTAAGCGATTCTCAAAATGAAGCACAAGTCTTAAAAGAAAAGGAAATTAAAAAAAATCGGAATGAAACTGATGTTAATAAAAGTGATTTAGTATCTGTACAAAAATGTCCATCAGAATCAAATGATGATTATACATCATCTTATGATAATAAAATATCTGATAACAAAAATGAGAAATTCGGCAAAATTAATTTAAATGAATCGTTAAAATCTACACAAAAGTCAGATAAAAACGATTTAATCGAAGAAGAAGAAATAGTGTCTAAAAATCACACAGAAATACAAATAAATAGATCACAAGAAAGCATGGAGGTAGACGAAGATTATATATTGAGTTCCAATGACGAAGCAGATAATATAAACAGTTCACAAGTAAAATCAAATTCTCATAAAAAGGGCAATAAAACTGTGGAAAATGATTTAACGGAGAATGGCGAAAGAAGAAAGAAAGATAGTATTAAAAGAAAATCACTAAATAAAAGTAAAAATGACTTTGAAAATAATCAATCACTTAGTAGTAATGATAAGAAGAGTTCTAAAAATAAATCTTTCACTCACGATAAACAAGAAGAAATAATTGATAGTGTCGTTGAAAATGCACAAGAATATTTAATACAAACGGTATCGAAATCATCTTCGAAGAAAAAATATAAGGAAAATAATGATGTGTTTTCATCTAGTTACGATGAACAAGTACAAGGTAAACTAAACAACTCACAAAAATCAGTCTCCAGCAAAGAAGTACGGAAAAACTATGACAACAGTTCATCGAGTGATGCAGAAGTAACAGAAAAGAATTTAGAGAAGCGTTCTAAAAAGAAAATGAAGAAGAAACGTAAAGACGTTACTTCATCTTGTGACGATGAAGGAAAATATAAATCACAATCTTTAAGCGAATCATTATCCAAAAAAGAAAAGAATAATTATGAAGCAGAATATAAATCGCAAAAATTAGACTTCGACGAAGACGAAAATCCTAACAGTCAATTAGAAGATGTATTCATTGACGAAAAAGAAGCAGAGTCCAGATCGTCCAGATCGGTACGAAAATCAATCTCAAACAAAGAAAAATACAATAAAGATGAGATGGACCGTGAATTCAGTGATGAAGAACATAAATTAGAATCATTAAAAAAATCTAACTCTAAGAACAAAAAGCGTAGAAAGAATTCTATAATCAGTGACGAAGAAGAGATAAAACATAAATCAAAATCGATTAGCAAATCAACACCTAATAAAGAAAATAGCGATATGGAAGATTGTATATTCACTGATGATAAAGAAGAACGTAAATCGCGATCGGTACGTAAATCACTTTCCAACAAAGAAAAATATAATACGATTGAAGAAGATCATGCATACAGTAATGAAGTAGAGATTATAAATATATCAGAAGAAAAAGAAGACGTTGTTCTTGACATCACTGAAGGAGAAGAGGTAATAAATAAATCACGAACATCCAGAATATCATTACCCAACAAAGAAAAAATGGCGAAGGATAAAGAATATCAATCGCAATCGCTACAAAAATTGTTCTTCAATAAAGAAAATGACAATAAAGATGGATCATATAGTATATGTAGAGATGAATCAGAAGATAAGCGTAAATCACGAAAGCTGCGCAAATCCAACTCTAACAAAGAAAAAACTAATGAAGAGAATAATGTATTCAATGATGTTAAAGAGACAGAACATAAATCACAATCATTCCATAAATCTCTTTCTAATGAAGCTCAAAACAATATGAGTGAAGACGATCATAAGCTAAGTGGTGGAGAAGAGATAGAACATGAAATCGATGAAGTAGAGTCCAATGAAGAAGTAGAGTCAGAACATGTAGTCGATTTTAAGTTCAGTAATGAAGAGGAGTTAGAACATGAAGAAGATTTGGAGAATAGTGATGAAGAAGAAATAGAACATAAAACAAGATCATTTGGAAAATCAAATTCCTATAAAGACAAAAAATCTAAAATTGAAAAGGGTCGTTCATTCATTGATGACGACGAAGAAGATAGGGTATCAAGTGATGAAGAACAGATTGAATATAAATCACAACCATTAGAAAAATATGTATCCAAGAACAAAGTAGATCAGAACAAAAATAAAAGTATTTGTTCATATAATGCTGATGTAGAAGACGGATATAAATCTTGCTTATCACGAAAATCACTTTCCAGTAAACAAAAGAAAATAACGGAATATATTTCTTCCAATTTTGATGAAGAGACAAAATGTAAACCAGAATCGCCACAAAAATCAGTATCTCGGAAAGAAATTAAGAAAAATATTGAAAATATCCCGTCATCTAGTGACGAAAGCAGTGATTCATCGCTTAATGAGAGAAAAGATGTAAATAGTAAATTAGATGTTAAAAAACATTCCTTATACCATAAACAAAATGAAGAGAAAATTGAAAACGAAGCTGAGACTATTAGTCCTTCTAAAAGGAGGTCACTACTTAATAAAAAAACCAAAATTGATGTCGGCAAGAATAATTCATCTTGTAATATGGGAAACCTCAATCATTCAAAGAGAAAGTCCTTGTCTTTTGAAGAAAGTAAATTAAAATCAATAGAAAAAAATAAATCTCTTAGAAATTCATTGCATAAAAGGAAAGAAAATGTTGAAACTAAGGAATCGATTTCACAGACTCATTCTGATAGTGATTTTGTTGAAATTCGGAATATGAGCGATAATGAATCAAGTACTGAAGAAGAGAACGAGTGTGATTTATCTAAAAATCTTTCATACAAAAATGTTAAATATTTAAATGAACAAGAGGAGGCCGATTCAAGTGATGAGGATAAAATAGAGATAAATAAGAAATCCGTAAATAAGTCAACCAAAAAGAAGTATTCATTGAATAAACGTAATGAACTACCAACTTCATCCTCTGAACCAGAAAAAAACGAAGCAGATGTGTCAGATCAAAGTCAAACGCTGAATAATAAACACTCATTAAACACAAATTCCAAGATTCAAACCGCAATTTTATCAAATTCAAAGAAAAGAAAATTTAGAAAAGATTTAGAAAGAATAAGTAGTTCAGATGAAGACGAAATCAAGTTAAAGGCGACAGCCAAAGTAAGTAGCCGTTTATGCACAAGTTTTATTGATTTTAATAAGATAGCGAACGAAAAATACTATGAGAAACTACATACATCATGTACGGTGAACACATTTGAAGTTGGGGATCCTGAACATCAAACCGATGAGAGTGGCTATGAAAAAGTTGAAGAACATACCACCCAACTCATACAAGCAGTAGAAACAAACAGTGATGAGTTTCACGGTGCAGAGGAGCATGTTTTCACAAATTTTGAGCAAATAGATAAAATCCATGTTGATAATCGTCGTCGAAGTTTAGCTCCAACAGGTCATCGCATTCCTGATCAATCTTTGAATGCAGGTCAATCATTTATAGAAAATATTTCTGAAGATAAAAAAGAAACACGTAAAGATAAAAATATTAAAAGGAAACGCTTGACACAAAGTTTTTGCAGTGCCGGTTCACTCGATACCACAGACTTTGAGTTGCATCATGTAAACAAGAAACGTAAAATTTTGGAACAAAATGATTCAGAAGTCGATAAGGTATGAAATCAAAATTAAAAAATTATTAATTCCAAAAACAAAGATACAATTTCTCATAACTTTTAAAATATTTTTTTTTTCATTATATACAGAGTTTGGAAGATTTAACTGCTAAGAACTTGAAAGATGTACTTGAAAAGGTAAGCTTTAAATAATTTAAAAATTATAAAATATATTAAAAAATAAATATAATTGTGTAGAGCAAAAACGAAGTATCTCAAGAAGAAGATACAAATCGTGAAGTTCCCAAAAAGGCTGCGATTGATAATGTGAACAGTCCAGTCGTAAATAGCAAAAATGATTTTAAACGAAAAGGTTGGTTTTTGTATTTTATATTTTTTGTATAAAAATATTTAAAAAAAATTTTTTTTTGTAGAAAAAACCAAATTAGCTGTGGAACAAGCACTAAAATTTTCAGCAGATGTTATTACTCAAATGTCTAAGAAGAAAAAGAAAAATAAGAAGGTGAGAATAGAGTCAATCTTATTTATATACTTTAAACCATCGCTAATATAGTAGCTTTCGTATATGGAATTTATGTCCCAAAGTCACCTTTTTATGTGGCGACTCTGTTTTAAACTTTTAGTTCTCAATTTCTTGAGAACTTTTAGTTTTCAATAGGATATTACTAAACACACCTTTAATATTTTCTCAACTACAACAAATTTATATTATTCTGTTAAATTTGTGAATGCTCTCTTGGGAACTTAAATACATCTTCAACTTCGTGACGTAGAAAATTTTAATAAACTCATGTATTGAAAAGAGCTCACAGCTCTATCAACAAAGTACTTCCAGAACCCATACATTGTTGCGTTAGGGTTCTGAACAAATTCTTGCAGTTTAAGATTTATAGCCACAAGTTTCGTGTAACAAATATACGCATTTATTCTTGGCTTCTATTTTACCTATTGTGACTTTACCTATCTATTAAGTTGCTTAATTGTGCACATCAAGTTGAGCCCAATTATTATATAGCCTCTTCCTATTCAGTTGAAAATCTTTGCACATAGATCTATGCTAGTTGTTAATTACCTCTTTTATACCTTTTCGACTGTAAATAAAAGTTTACTATAAATTATTCTAATAATTATACTATCGATACATTATGTCCTTTTACAATATCTTAGAACTCATTTAGGATTTTCTGCTTAACAGATTCACATAATTCAAAAATAATATATAATATATAATATTATATATATTATAAAATAATATATATGATATATACTACCATCATTTATATATGATTACTGATATATTACTGATAAATTAGTGATATATTACTGTTATATTACTGATATATTACTGTTATATTAGTGATATATTACTGATATATTACTGGTATATTACTGATATAGGTATTACTGATATATACGTATTACTGGCTATAAAATCTGCTAGCAATTTTTGAACCATTGATGTGTAATTTATTTCGTTTGTATTAATAAATATAATATAATAGTGAACTTTTCAATAAACTTAGGTAACTAGCAGAAAGTAATGCTAACGAACTTGTAAACTACATGAAATGAATACAACTATTCTGTCTTCGCAAACAACCTATTAGTAGAGACGATTTTGCAACAAAACGTAAACTAGAACTAACTAATCAGAGCAGATAGGTAGTTGTTTAACGGTACCCCACAATATTAGCCTAAGTTCATCTCAATTAATCTGTATCGTTCTCCTAACTTTTGAAACTGTTACTTGGTACTCGGTACTTGGTCGTCGTAGGTGACGAGTGGCTCAGGGATGTAGACCCGAACGTTCTTGGAACTAACTTTTGAAACTGCTTTTGCTTAGTTGTGGAAATTTTTTAATTTTTTATCAAATATTAATTTTTTATTTAATATTTAATTGTGTTAACATTTTATTATTGTAGTTGGTGGATGGAAATAAACTTGCTTCAAAACAGGATCAAATAACAGAAGAGTCAATTTCTGAAACAGGTAATAAATGGAAAATATTAAAATTTACTCATAAAAATATAATAAATTTCAATTATTTGTTTTAGTACCAAAATCTGAAGATCAAGCACAGACATCGAATGAAGTACATAAAATAAAATCTTCTGCTGGGGATATAATAGAAACACCCATTACACCAAAAAAGAAAATTCACATTACCACATTTAATTTGCCAACTGGAACTGTTTGTGTCGAACCCATGACACCGTGTCGTAAAGCAATAGTAAATGGTTTTAGAGAAAGTCCATTTACACCAAAATGTGTCGGCTTTAAGGTAGAAAGTAACTGCCAGGATTTGTCTCCTACATCATCTCGTAAAAGCCGCAAACGCAAACGTTATATCGAGGAACCGAAACATTCGTTACCGAAACCAAAATGGACTCAATCAGGCCAATTTATAGAGGAAGATTTGTCAACAGGTGAAATTGTGAATTTAAAAAAAGGCAAGAAAGTTGATAGCCTACAGTTAAGTAAGGAGAGCGCTCTTAATTTTAAAAATAGAGCTCTATTTCGCAAGAACATACAAAGGGAAAGTTCTCAAACGTTGCTTAGACGCAAAGAACGTGGTTTCCAGAACAAATTTTAATTTGCTTTTTTACATTTAAGTTGAAATTTAAGTTACTCTTAATTTAATTTTCATATATTAGTTCAAATTTAAATTTATGCAGGCATTAATTTCAAAATCATTTAATTTATAATTACATATTTTTTACATTAATTTGCATGCATCATTTATTGTAAATATTTTTAAAAATGAATTTCTTTTATTTCTTTTTATTAAAACATTACATTAAAACTTTTTATAAAAACTTATTGCACTTATAAATATATAATATTAAAATAAAATTAATTTAATGAATTTTATTTAGTTTTCGAAATTCCTTAATAAATATAATTATTGTGAAAGAAAACAAAATATCCCAACAAGTTATTATACTTATTTATTATAATTAAGCACATCATCACAATTTAGTCTCACTAACTAGCAACTAGGCATATTTTGTACACAATAATATCGTTGTCTGAATTGTTCAAAGCTACATATTTTAGTATAATTTAGAGAAAATTAAACTTAGTATTCCATGCTAGTAAAGTACGATATTTATTTGCATAGTTTCTTAGAAAAGAATCAGATTTTTATATACTTTCTGCATCGTCCCGAAGTTTTACGAGTTTCTGGAGAACCTAGCAAACAACGCAAATCTCGGTTTCTATGTTGGTGGTTTGCTTATAACAAAGAATAAGGATGAATAGTAGGATAGGGTCGAGTAAAATTATATTATTACATATCATCAATCTTAAATTGGTGTACAGACCTTCAATCATTGATTAACTGAAGCTAATTCATAATCATGTGCCCATAACTATTCTTGTGGCTAAAGTGAAGAGATTATAAAAGGCAGTGAGTGAGCTCATAATCGGATGGTGGGTTCCAAAACGGCTACTCGTTTATTTCGTCTACCATATAAAATGCCTTTCACCATACTGAAAGGGCAAATATCAGCACATTTCTCCGCGGCTTACCACAACAACAACGGCGTAAGCTAATAACATAGTTTAACAACCATATCAGCTGGATAGGAAGAACATAAATATGGATTTATTTGTTGTATCTTGGTTTAACATCCAATATTTACTTGGAATATAATAACTAACAATTAAAAAACCAAAATTAAACACAATAAGCACACTAAATTAGGATCTTAAAGAGAAGACAATTTTGATATGATGGTATTAAAAGCGGAGAGTGTTCAAGTGAAACATCGACACACACTGGAATATTTTTTTCTTGACCTGGTATAGTAACATTTAGCTTTGAATATAGCATTACTAAGTTGGGATCCTATGACCTTATTGAATGCGATCATACAAATCAGAAAAATATTATAGGTCGTCACGCCTTGAGAATAGATATGACATGCAATGACTACGGTACAGATTCTCTCTAATTGAGCTACTGATTTACATAATGTGTGAGGAGAGGTTTCTTTAAATGAGATATTATAATAGTGCAATGGAATTTCTCTTGGGCTAAGTGTTTGTATCTATTACTAGTTAATCAAATCTTCTAGTTGAGCCAATGATTCTTTACTAATTTACATGACATGTGAGAAGGGGTCTGTTTAAACGGAATTTTTTTATGAGACAATAGGACTCCTTTGGGATCGAGTTTACTACTACTACTACTTAAGCTAACCTTGTAAACATTTAGTGGAGTCATTTCTTTTACTAATTTTCGTGAAGAGTGAGTAGAGGGCCCATTAAATGGAATTTCGTTATGAAACCATGGGGTTTCTCAAAACAATCGTGTTTTACTATTATTAGTACTAATACTACTTAATCTTATCTTGTAAACTTCTAGTGCAGCCACTTATTTCTTAATAATTTTCGTGGTGTGTGTGAAGGGTTGTCCATAAATGAGATTTTGTTATATTACAGCGGGACTTTACTTGAGCTAGGTGTTTGTTTGTTTCGGGGTACTTATTGATTTCCGTGACGTGTAAGGAAAGGAGCCGTCAAAAAAGATTTTGTTGTATTTTTAGCTTACGCAATTATCCGTAATATATATAGGCAAAGTCATATTTATCCTAAACCCATCACCTTCCATTATCGAGAAATTCACTCAATGTTTGCAATTCTTCTTCTTCAAACCACTGATACTAATGACTTTCTAATTCCTAACTATGAGTTATGTACACAAAAGCGATTCTAATCTAATCTTAGAAACTTTTCTATTTAAATAAAGAATCTGTAAGAATAACAAATAATCTTGAATAAATAATAAACAAAATATTTTTTTTCTCAAATTCGAACGGTAAAATTTTTAAGGAAAATTGTTGTTGTTTATTGAGAACTTTGATTGACATAATTGATTTATTTTTGTGATAAACTGTTTTTTTTTTGATTAATCGTTTTATTAGCAGTGTAAGTAAACAAATATTAAAAAATAATTAGTTTTCATTTTCAAGTCACTGGCACTATTTTGCAAAGACTTCACGTATTTATCTTCAACGCTTTTGCAAACTAGCGATCGCATTTTTCCAAGACCCACTGATCCAAGTCTTTTTTATTATTGAAACGCGCAAATTAAAGGGGCGGTCCTCATTGTCATCAATCAGTCGGAAGTGGAGCAGTTGCTGTGCACGGGAAGTAGAGAAGGTAAGTCCGAAGTGGGATTTGTTATTTTTTTTTCATCATATAAAAAAATAATACCTGGTGGTTTGGTATAGTTTTTTTAAAAATTATATTTTGATCGTATAGAGGTTCAAATGAAATAATATATATTTAAGATCAGTGAATAAATTTGTTAGAATATTTTTAAGAAAGCCTCTCGTTTATTTATTTAATTTACTTTTCCGCACTACAGATCAAAAGGTAGAAGGTCAAAATATTTTCTACTTTGTATGTGTTCCTGAAACGACTTTTCAGGTGTTCTTCTGGTCTATGTAATCCCTGAAATCACAACGAGCACAGCAAAAACTTTTTACCATAGCAGACACCGATGGTAACAGTAATCCTACTTACTTACTTACTTACTTACTTACTTACTTACTTACTTACTTACTTATGTGGCCATAACAACTTGTTACCGAGTTTCGGCCTGACGCAGCATGTCTCCCCAGGCGCCCCTGCTGCGTGCGCAGGGGTCTCGTATATCTCCAGTCTCGTATATCAAGTCCAGTTAGTGCTCCCTCAACTTGATCACTCCACCGGAGACACGGTCTACCTCTACGTCTTCTTCCGCCGACTACTGCTTCAAACACCTTTTTCGCCGGAGCGTCTTCATCCATTCTCACGACATGACCAATCCAGCGAAGCTGTAACAGTAATCCTACCTGGGAAAAAAACGTCGCTTTAAAAGAATGTATTTTTGTGTGAAAAATGAAAACTAGCAATACAGTGAAAACTAGAAGTTTCACTGTATTATGGTAATCATTAAATAATTAAAAAAATAATCTCTTTTTTTTATTAAACTTTATTAAACTTCTAACAAAAGAAGTTTTTCTACAACTCAATTCAGTTACTATATAACAGAAGTAGCTACACCAAGGGATACGGCTATATAATATAATATGATATTTCGTTGAGGTTCTAATTTTTCGGGCACGCCAAATCAACAAGAGATTTCAGTAGAGGAGGCTTAATAACTGACCTTAAACCTGACTAGTTGGTATAGGTCGAAAATATAAATTAACTATTAAAATATTTAATAAACTAAATTAATAAATAATTTTCTATCGATGAAAATTCAGTTTTTAATTACGAATTAATGTACCAAAAAACGAGTGGTACTTTTTATATCGCTCAATATTTATAATTTTCATAACAATTTAGGTAAAATATTATTAGAAGGGATACTAAGTTAATAAACGACCACATCTTCAAAAACACTCCACACCTACATGTCAAGTATGCAACACTAATTTAACCATTACCCACATTCTGACGAGATGTCATAAATACCCATCGTTTGTAATTAGATTAAATGAATCAAATCTCTTCAAAACTTTTACCTCACCAACTCACTCTAATATCCAGAAAACCATAAACTTCTTAAAAACATCTGACCTTTACTCTTCTATATAACTAACTCCAACGCTGACATATTCAATACATAATAAATTATCACTACACTAACAAACTATCATATTCTTCTTAATTCCTTAATCTCCTTGTGGTGCATAAAGCCGTAGTTTTCTGCTATAATAGACCTATTGTTACATATATATGAATTTCGCTCCTTCAGATCCGATGTGCGTTCGCCGGAGCGGGAAAATTCCTCAAGTGTCGAGTGCCTCTAGTACCTCCTTCAGATATATCATCCATATGCTTTGAATAAATATTTATATTTTCATATCAATAAATCATATTTGATCATTACCCATGCGATGGTAATAGGTACAAAGATAGGGCTTAGTAGAGATTGCACCACTTTTGACGACTAAGCTCACATTTTACAGATTTTTATAGCGAATCGCTTGTTGCAAGACCGACATCCGCTCCAACCGCATCTACCTATCATACTATAGTTTTAAATTTCTCTTATAGGTTAGTTGTGTCTTTAAGTGCAATGTAACTTCTGTATAAAAAAAAAATATTAAAAGAGACAATGGCGTACTGTCAAGATCAACGAACAATTGCTTTAAACATTTGGCCATAAGCAAATATCATCATCATCTGCGACTATACAGTCAATGTAGGCCTGTTTAACAAGTCTTCCATTCCTCTCCTCTCTGTTTTTTGATAAGCAAAAATATATATAATTAATAAATTAAACTTATAAACCATTTTCTATAGTTGAAAATCAGTTTATAATTACGAATTAATGTTATTTCACAAAATAAGAATATAGGTTGGATCTTTGTTATCCAACTTAAAACATTCAATTGGTTTCCAACTCAATTTTCTGTGTTTTCAAACAACAGAATCTCCACTTTACTTTCAATTCGAACCAATTTTTGTATATTTCAATCTATTTACATATACAATCCACATAGGTAACTCACTCTTGATCATTGCCAGATATTGCCAGCAACATGTCACAAATGTTGATAACGTTCTTGTGGAAAGCAACAGAATGTATATACACACACACATACGCACAACAAAATTCATACACAGTTTGGAATGTAAATTTAAGGGAGAGCAATAAAGAGCGAGCGAGTTGAGAGATGTGGTGATGTGGTGAGCGTGTGGAAAAACAAAAAAAACCAACAACAACAAATTTAACTTCGAAATTGAGCAATCTGCACAAGAAACTCACCAAACGTAGTTCACATCATTTAGTAGAGTTTTGTATATGAAGTGAGAAGGAAGTGGAATTTATTTTTTGAACAACATCTTTAAGAACAACGTACCAAAAAATAAAAAAGAAAAAAACGAAATTAGAATAAGAAAAATATTTTTCCCTTCCTTTCAAACGAAAGCGAAAAAGAAAGTAGTTACATTTTTGTGTAGTTGCGCCTAAATTAGTTTCGCGCCTTTTGCAACTAAAAACGTATCGTCGCATAGAAGTCATTTGGTCAAACACACAAAATGTTGCTTTCCACATAGCCGGCAAATATTAATATACAAAATAAAAAAATTCTACAATTTACAAAAAAAAAAAAAAATTTTTTTTGTATGTGGATAAAATTAAAACAAATAAACTACTTATACAAAAACAAAATAAATTGTTGAATGAAAACTTTATTAAAAAAAAAAAATTAAATTTTATAACAATAAAAAAAAACTATAAACGCGGTTCAACGGATTTTGTCGAAAGTAGTTTTTTTTGCTTGCTTTATTCATAAAAAAATAATTGTTTTCTATTGTAATTGTTAAATGTCAACAAAAATAATAGTAGAAAGACATTAGACTTTTTTATAATAAAAACAAATCAATTAAAAAATATCTAATTCGGCAATATTTTAATAAACAAAATGTTCGAATTGGAAGAATATTCAAGTGGTTTCCACGATGGTTTCCTTAATAAATATGCAGTAAGTAATAAATTACACTAAAAATTTCTTAATTGTTAAATAAAAAATATTTATTTATTGTTTAAATTAATTATTAATAAACAAATAGTGTATAGAATTTAATTGTTTAAAAAAAATAGATTTCAAAAGAAATGTGAAAAAAATTCATTTGTCATGCCGTGCCCGGTGCAAAGAAAAAAGTTGCTGTCAATGCTGGATCTGTTCTCACATGCTTGCTTCTTGCTTACTTAAAGAAAAATTTTTAAATTTAACGTATACAACTGTCATGTCAGTTTGTCGCTTCCCCCCACACACACCTAACGTGTGCCCCTCTTTATTTATTTACCATTTTCATTTCTCATTTATTATTTTTCACTTTTGTTTGTGTCTCGTTCGTATTTTTCGTCCCATACACACAACCCATATACACATGCATACATACATGTATCTATGTATCGCTTGCATGCTACTTAAGTCAAGACAAAGCATTTGTCGGCAAAATTTTTTAAATTGAAAACGAAGTTTTTTTTTGGAATAAATTTTTCAATGTTTTGCAATTTTTCTGTTTACAGTTTTTGCTTGTCGTTGCTGCTGCTGTTGTCTTTGCGCGCCGCTGCATTTACATTTTTCTCTTGCTGTTATTTTGTTGCTTGCTCTTGGTGGTTTGCTCTGTTATTGCTGCGCTGCCGTTGCTGTTGCCAGTGGCCAGTGTAGCTTTGCGTTCTCTGCTGCAGCTTTGCGCTCTGCTTAACTCTACCTCTGTGTTCTGCTGCTTAGCTTTATCGATTATTTTTGCCGCCTATGTTATTTTTATTGTTTCTGCTGTTTTTCTGTTTTTTTTTGTTGTGTTTGTGAATTTTGCCGGTTTTTTTGTTGCTTCCCATTTAGTTGGTTGAGTCGTCGTCGTCTCCTCAATGTTCTTCGTAGCTGATAGCAGCAGCACTCTTTTGCTTCGCTTCAGTATCAAATGTTGCTAAAATTATTTCATTTTATCTTTTCAGATTTTGCAAGCAAATCGCTTATTTATGCCTTTTCTGTGTGTATGCGTGTGTGGTTGTTTTTTTTTTGTTTTGTATTTTGTATTTTGTATTTTGTCTTTCCCATAAAACCGTTTCATATTTGAATCTTTGAATTTTCATGTTGGAATTAAGTTACTGGAGTGGTGTAAAGGTTGGTGATATTAAATTGTACGTCGTCGGCTGTTGTGTATGTGGCAATGGTGAATTTTAATGTGGGCTATTATTGTTAGTTAATATTTTTATTATAAATATTTTTAATTGTTCAATGTTTTTTTTATTTGAAATGGCATTATTCGATATATTAATTGCTTAATAGGAAAAAATGCAATAAAATAATAATATATGATATGTACATATATTATTATTTATATATAGTTTGTTTTTTGTATAAGTAAATAAAATGTAAAATTATTAATAACTTTTACTTTTAGCATAAAGCATCATTTAATTTTATTAGATATTTATATAAATATTAAATTTTTTTTTTTTTTGAATAATTATAAAATAAATTATTAATGATTCAACTTATGCTAATATTTAATTATAATAATTTGATAAAAAAGAATTTTCCTATATAAACGGTAATACAATGGACCAATAAATCTCAGTGATCGCCGGTATAACCTAACCTAATCTAATAAAAAAAAGTAATATTTAACAATTGACCATTTAGCCCGTTTCAAAAACAAAATTATTAAAAAAATTTTCGTCGATAAAACAATAAATTAATAATAATTTATTAAATGAACACACTGCATTATTGAGGGAATATATGCCGATATAAGAACACTGACACAATAATGGTAACAGATAAAAGAGACACCAGGGCAAGTGAAACACATTTATATATGTCCACCCACCACTAACTAGAAGTAAAGGTACCAATAGATACTAGCCTTCATTAAACATACAACAATACCGCATTATTATTTTTTTTAACAACAAATTGACCCCGACATGATCATTGACTAACTAAATTAACAGCCTGACGATATTCTTAGAACAAATAAATATTACAAAAAAAAAAATCTTGTTGAAAATGAATAATTTTTTAATAGATTTTAAAATTATTATTATTTCTTTCATTTAATTAGATTTAAAAAATATTTTCCTTATGTATGAAGAGTGACTCCTGATCCTTTATACATTCTATATATAGTGTCAAAGCGATATCTGTAATATGAAGTTATTTTTTTAAATCATTTAAAACATTTTTCTTATCAATTTTATATAAAATTATTTTAATTTAATTATAAATTAATACTTTTTATACAAAATAATAAGTATGACCGTAGCATTCACAAAACAAAGATGATTATTTAATCATTAAATATAAGGTTGACAAAAAAAATATTTAACAGTTGTTATTATTATTATTTTTCTTAACAGTTTGTTTTAAGCTTAATTTAATTAAATAATTCGAATTAAGATATAAACAAATAGTTTTTATATGAAAAATAACACTTAAAGTTCATGGCTTTGGCTAGAAAGATGATTTCATTCATCGCATTTGAGCTTAACATAAAATGTTAAAGTTTCTTAACTGTTTTAAGAAATAATTAAACTTGAGCCTGTAATTGTTTAAGTTAACATTTCAATTTCTTAACATTTTTATTCATTTTAACATCATAACATAAACTACTGCTTAGTAGAGATTTTAAACTGATTGTGAAATTAATTATTAATCATTTTGATGCTTTTACAAAATTATAAATAAAATTTACCTACTTTTGTTTTTAATAGCTTTTTTCAGTTAATTTTATTTACGTTCTTAAGATGGAAAATTACTCTAAGTTAACTAAAATATATAACACTTTTATATTTACACATAAAGTAACATAAACTTTAGCTGTTAAGTTAAGCTTAACAGTGGTGAACTTCTGATAACTTAGCTTGTTATAACAGTTAATCAATCAAAATTTAAAGCCTAAAAACATATAATTTCTTAAAGTAACCTTTAAAATATAATAAATTAGTAATTATTAAATTAATTTATTGTATATAAATATATTAATTAAATTATCATTAACTTAACTTAATAATTTAGTTTAATACGTTGATAATACTTAGTTTAATTGTGAAAACACATTTGTCTCGCGTAGAATAAAACCACAAACTTGTAAAGTTTTTTGTTTCTGGACAGTTTATTGAGATGTCTTATTATAGCAAACGTTTAGTGGGATACAACAATATTAATTTGTTGTGTTTGATTTCTTACTTATAATATAAAATATAATTTTGGTTGATACTTTTTTTCTTTTAATTGTTAACTTGTGATTTTTCATTTTAAGCTTAACATTTTCAGTTATTACAGTTTTACTTACTGTGTCACGTAAGAAATGTGTTGTATAACAGTTTTACTTTGACAGAACTTATTACAGTTTAGAATAAAAGGTTCTGAGCTTGATTAACATATTTGCATTCAAATCTTTTGTTTCTGTATGAAATGCTACTTCCAATAGGTAATAGGTTTTCTTTTTCAGTTATATATTATTAATTATAACAAACACTTTTTGCTTTTATTTTAATTGAAAAAATTTAATTGAAAACTAATATTTTTTACATTTAACTCTATTGAACTTATTTGCTTCCCTTGTAAAATCCCTTTTGGGGGTGTTGAATGGCATGGAATGGTCGTGGTTCGATCAAAATATTTGTATTATACATAATTAAAAAAAAAGAAATTAAAATACAGGCAAACTTCCATCACTTGAACTTCTATAATTCGAATATTCTATAACTCGAATAAAAATAGAGTGCAATAGGGTTTAGATAACGAATTACATCAATTACAAAAAAATTCTTTAAATCGAAGTCCCCATAAGTCGCACATTATCTCTATAAAGTGGTCTTTGAGTTATAGAAGTTTGACTACATAATTAAAAATATTTAACACAAATTAATATGTGTAATTTTTTTACCATTTTTATGTGTTAAGTCGTTTAAATCCGGCAAAAATCAAAAAATTTTTAATTATAATTTTATTCTGTATAAAAAATTTATAACGTAAACTATTTTTAAATTTATTTTTTTTAATTTAAATTTATTTAATTTTTTTAATTATTTTATTTTAAAAAATTAAATACGCCCAAGAAATCACTAAATGACTTCATAAATTTCTACACGTGATTTCCTTTTCTAAGCTTAACAGAACATATCAAATTATTACAGTTTTTATATCTGCTTCGCCCATTAAAAACTTGCTCTGCCATGTCTGTCTGCCTGCCATATCCCAAACTGATAATGTTAAGTTGCAATGTTAGTTGTGTATTAAAACATATAACATTACTTACTACCTCACATTACATTATCGTTTTCTTTTTATAGCTCTTGCTCTGCTCTGTTCTGCTCTGTCGTCAAAGTGTTAAACCACAAAATTCTGTTCTCAAAAAAAAAATTCGATGTATAAGTTGCGCTGTAGATTGGAAGTTGGGCAATTTTCAGTTGAAGAGAGTAAACTTTAAACATTTCGTTAAATTTTCAAATACGTTAAGACTCTTTGACGCGTAACTTAGCGCCCACAAAATACATATACACATGGCCAGTTTTGTAGTTGAAATTTGCGAATAAGAGCGACATGTGTAGTTTCTACACTCTTAAAAAAAATTTGCACTCAGTGGTAAGTAAAGTGTTTCAAATTATTATCACGTAAACACGTACAGAGCAACATTTTGCTCTGCTCACTCATTTTTCATTTCTTAAAACGTTGATAGAATTTAAAATACTTTGTGCTATTTTTTTTTTAAATTTAAATTTATGTTGTTTTGTTTCATAAAAAACGTTTTAAATTCTGTTTTATTTTATTTAAAAAAACTATCCAATTTATTGTGCTGAATCCATGAACGAAGTAAGTAAAAAAAAATAAATAAAAGAAAAATATAATTTTTTACTTTGTGGGAAACTAAAATTTTCTCGTTCCATTTCGTTTTTTGTTTTGCTTTTCGATTTTGCCGTTTTGTTGTCTTACTTATTGCTTTTGTTGTTGTTGTTGCTTGTTAAGCC